TACCATGCCTGACTGATGCTGTGGTTTTGATAGAACAGCAAAACTTATACTCTGGATTCCTAAGCATGACCTCTGGCCTAAGCCAAGGCCTTTCCTCTTTCATCTTTTCTTAAGTGGCCTGCATGTTATCTAATTGCAGCAGGAAGTTCTGTCTTCCCAGCTTTATCACCTTTTCACATTAAGAGCTTCGCTTCAGTGCTTTCATTTGGTTCTCCCAATAGACCTATCACACAGACAGAGGAGGAAACTGACCCCAAGAGTAGTAGCTCTGGGTATAATCAAGGCTACTTTCTGTTACCAGATGCCAAGTCTTTGTTTTTCAGAATGGGCTTTCTATCCTCTCCATATTGACAGGTGATTGATTCCGGTGCAATTCCCAGGTTCCCTTCCTGAGTTATGCTGACCATGGCTTGTTTTAGCAGCTTTGGCCCAAATGTGTGACACACAGATCCCAGAGATCTTGTGTCAGGCTTGGCTGAGAAGGTTGTTGGTCGTGCAGATGCAGGCCTGTTAAAGTCTAGGTGGATTCCTGTTGCCCAGTAGTCTGCAGAAGGGGGAGGTTGGCAGTGCCATAGGTGTCCAAGCTGCTGACTGGCTTCTCTTCACCAGGTTTCCCCTGGATTTTCTCTACTTTCTCTGAGCTTTCCCTTCTCTGAGCAGTTTGCTGGAAGCTCTGAGCACCCCACCTTTTATTCTGACTTAGTGTGAGATGTCACCTGACAACTCACTCTTGATCTCACAGAGCAGCAGGAACCGCTGCCTTGGGGGCTTGGTGCTTCCCAGCACCTTCCAGTGCCCTTTCCAGAGGAGGACATGTATGTGCCCCTCCCACCTTAACTCTGGGCCCACTCAAGCAAGGAGGGGACTTGGGATCCATGGAAGGAACAACACTGGAACCCTTTAGAAAAACTGGTGCATCAAACAAGTGAGGATCAGCAGGGGCACCTCCCTACCCCTGCCCTGGTACCTGTTCATGAACTTAGTACAAACTCTCAGTGAGGGTCAGGGGCCCTGCTCCTTGTCTGGGCAGGGAGCCTTTGGACCCCACAAGAGAAGCCACCCTTTACCTTCAGTTCCCTCTACACTGAGATCTCACCACCCCCATGAAAAATCCTTCTGAATTCTCTGATTTTCTAAAACCGGTAGCTCCTCTGCCTCCTAGTTCACAGACCTATCAGCAGCAACAGGTTTGTTGCTGGGAGGATGCCATGAAAGCTTTGCAGTATTATGTGAAAACAGATTTCATCACACTCAGGCAGCAAGCCGGGTACATCAGCAGGGACCCTGGCTATAAATGACCATGGCCTAGAGCCCCCAACACATAATACAGAGGCAGCCATATAATTCTAATTATTTTAGTATTTCCCCTTATGTTGCTTTGTGAAGAGGGTAGAGGCAAATAACAAAGTTTGGATTTTCTAAGAATATTTCATCTTGCATCAAACCTGAGGACTTAACTAAACATGTCCACATTTGCTTTCTTTGGAAAAGTATGGGTGGCCCAATGTGAACCTAAACACTTCATCCTTGTTTTAATGATGTTGTGTAAAATTCAGTACAGACGCCTGCACAGGTTGGAGTTTTCCGGTCAGTAATTACCCCCCAGGAGTCTAAGGTTGGTGCTGGCGCCCCCACAGTTGCTGACATACCCTGCACTGAGGAGCAGGGATCCCCCACTGCTGATGTGTCATCTACTAGTGCTAGTAACAGCCCTGTTTCCAGAATTGACCTCTAAGGAAAGAGTCAGCCCTGTTTTAATCATGAGCTTTATAAAGATGTTTGGGTGTGGTGAGCTGGGAACCTTGCCAGACCCCTAGTGCTTCCTGGAAATGACAAATCTCAGGAACAGAAGGAAAAGCAGCTCTTTTCTATTTAAAACCTCCAAGGAGAACAGTGATGGCCCAAGGCCCTGATCTGGCTCTGCTGTGATATGTTTGTGTTTTTTGGTCTTGGGATATTCACTGGCATGGCTCTGCAGCCCTCAAACATGTTGGTGTTTTAATGAGCCATGACATTTAAACACATGAACTGAGCTTTTTGGAATAAAATGCTTATTCAGTTCTGCGGCAAAGAAGTCCCTAGTTATTGTTACTTGTTTGTCTGTTTAAAAATCTTCCTCACTTCAGTGAAATGTAGTTATAAGGCCTTCTCAGGGGAAATGCTTTTATATTTGAAATACATTTTTCTTTTAGCTTAGCAGAAAAACAAACATCGTGTTGTTTTGGGCATCAGATATGGCCAGTTCCACAGGGAAGCAGATGGGCACAGGGTCCTGATTGGGGCAGGACCATGAGGTCTGATGGATGCATGAAGCCAGAGCGGGCCATACTCTGCCACGTACAAAGTCTGCCTGGCAAGTGCCACTCCTCTCCCTGTGCCTGCTACTGGGGCACTCACAGCACACCCACTTCTTAGCTCAGCTACTTCCTGACCATGATGTCCACTATGGGTCTGTAGCATGGGCAGACCGTGGGCACATGCCTCGGCTCTAGTCTGCCTGAGCTTAGGTCTCCTTTGGAAGTCCTTCGTCCCTCAGAGCTTCAGGTTCCTCGTCTGCACAGTGGGAATGTCAGCTTCCTATTGCTGTGCATCTTAGCAGCTTAGACCAGTACCCAGGGATGGCTTGACAATCTGGCACATGAGAAGCTGGTACTGGTTGGCAGGTTGTGTTTCAGGTTTCACAAAACTGAATTCAAGGCGTTGGCTGTCGGAGCTCTTACTGCAGAGAATGTAACTGCATGTTACTGAACAATGAGTCTTGTTTCCTGGCTGTTGCCATTCAGCATTTTCTCCTCGAAACTGCCTCCACCCCCTTCCTGCATTTTTATAGCTAACAAGGGTGGATCAAGACCTTTAAACCTCTCAGACTTTACTTTCTGCCTCATCTTTCCTTTCCCATTGCTTGTCTCTCTCTGGCCAAAGAAAACTTTTGGCTTTTATGGGCTGCCCTGGGGGTGGGGTCATTCAATTGGGCTGACCTCCGTAATTTTACCTGCACAAATAGGGGACAGAATGCTGGAACAACCTGTCACCAAGTTATCATGCAGACTGGGTCAGGAGCTGTGTGACACATAGAGCAGTGGCCCTGGCATACTCTGGAGCCTGCACCCTTCAGCTGCCTGGGAACAAAGCATATGCACAAGCAGGGCTCTCCAGCAAGGGCCTGACCACCTGTCAGTAAGGCCTTCCTAGGTGTTTGCATTTACCTTTGGAAAGCTAGCCTGTTACAGCGCTTTGGAGACTGGCTTTCTTGTCTCACAGCTGGGGCTCCATTTTGGTCTGCTCTGACAGGATTGGTTCTTGGAGAAGCTGGATGTCACCACCAAACCTGGGGAACTGTGTTCACGAGAAGTTATTACTTGGTGCAGTATCTGTTGTTACACTTAAGAGGTGGGAATGGTGAGTGCAGCTTTGGGCAGTTTGAGGCATATCTAAGATACGCTGATGTCCTTGGCTTTAAATTGTGCTTTTGTTAAAGTGAGAAGGCTTTTTACTGACACTTAAGGTTCTCTTATTTTTTGAAACAGTGCCTTACTATATATAGTCCAAGCTGGCTTTGAATTCATTATAGTCCAGGCTGACCTGAAACTTGTTGCTCCCTCAGCTTTTTTTTAAAATTTTTATTTATTTATTTGGTACAGGGTCTACAGGGTCTTACTACATAGATCCAACCCATAGTGATTCTGTTTTCAGCTTCCCAAGAGCTGGGCTTACAGGTGTGTGCCACCACACCCAGTCTCAATCACTGTCTTAGCCTACCCCGGGGGTGGGGCCAGCAACAAAGGCTGGGTATCAAACCTGCCCGCTGTGCTCTGCCTAAGCAGGTGCTTGTCTCCTGAGCTGTCTGGCCAGCCCACTCTCAGCCTTATGAGTGCTAGGAGTACAGGCATGCATCACCACACCTAGCTCCTGCTGGTTGTTTCATTCCTTGATCAGTGACCTCTGAGTGTCATCCATCAGGTAGGGAGGCTTGATACCTGATCAAGCCACACTCTACTCTCAGTTCACAGATGAAAGCCAAGATCCAGGAGGTGAAGCACCTTTCCCTACAGGAGATACAGAAGTAAGGTCTACCAGGACTGAATCAGTCAGCCTTGCCCACAGCCCAAGGCCAACACTTTCCCTTTCTCTTTCAGGCCTTGAAGCGCCAGAGCTTGCTGGGCCTCTCCTTCTTCAACAGCATCTTGGCCCACGGAGACCTGCGCAACAACAAGCTTAACCAGCTCTCTGTCAACTTGTGGCACCTAGCACAGAGGCACGGCTGTGCGGATACCAGGACCATGGTGAGGCATTCCGTTCGCCCACGCCAAGGCCACTGGTGCAGCACAGCATGGGGTGGCCTGGGCATCAGACTGCCCTAGTCTCTTTTAAAAAGGCATGGCCCAAGAAATCTGCTGGGTTCCTTCCCACTAAAAGGCATGTCATTTCAAGTATATTCCCACTGAATGAAAACCATACGTATAACAACTTCCTGGCCAAGCCCAAATCTGATTTACAGGGCACATTACAACCTAAGTTTGCTTTCATCCTTCAAGACTCCTTAACCTCTGCTAACAAGTATAATTCACACGATAGCCAATCTATTAGAGGCTTGGTCTCTAAGGACAGACTTATGAGCCAGAAACAAGATAGATCTTTCTTTTTCCTCTTAGGTGAAAACTCTGGAATATATCAAAAAGCAAAGCAAACAACCAGGCATGAATCATCTGACTGAGCTGGCCCTGAGACTCCCTCTGCAGACAAGGACCTGACCCTGGTCCTCCATGAGCCTGTCGCCAAGGACTCTGGCACCAACTCCAAAACAACCTTATCTTTGCTGCCCTCTTTTACTGGAAATGAAGTTCTGATTTTGTTTTTACTTTATTTTTACATATACAGATTGATTTAGGCTTTGGTCTCTGCCCAGATTCTTCTGATAGTAAATGGGGATTAAAAAAAGTAAATGGGGATCAGTATTAAAGCAAATCTTGTTCTCCGAAAAGCAGTGTCTCAGTGCTTATTCATACAAGTAGCCTTCGGGTCCTCAGCTTGAGGACTGAATGGGCCTTTAAAGGGGTTGGAACGGAATGCTGGTAGCTTTCTTTTCTGGAAGATGTTTGCTTTTTCTTTTGATTATGAATGTGGAAAAGTCTACTTTTATAGGGCCACCACTCCAGAAATGTTCAGTTCCAGACAGCATGCCCACAAACTACAGAAAGCACCACCATCTGGTATTAAATGTTGCTTGCCTATACCACCTTGGAG